CTAAACATCTGGCTGACTGTGCAACCAACCATAATAATAATGGTATGGTGGTAAAAGTATATATGATAGCATGTTTTCCGGTCCTTTAAGGCTTTAATGGCCTTCTTCCTGCCCATATCCTTTTTTTCAAATACAGCTCAAGATACTATAGAAGACAGAATCTGGTCCTCAGTCATAAAAAGATGCTCATTCGTTCTTTACACCAATACTTGGATATGGATGAACCTCTTTTTGCTCTCACCTTAACAAAAATGGCCAGGCTCTACTATTACAGACAAATCAATATGCCACCTATTTTTCATAAATAATCTGACAAATGTTCTTATACTGTTGTTTCATTTACATATAAATCCTGTTAACAAAAAATGATTTACTTTATATTCAATTTTTTAAATTTTGTTAGGAATGGCTAGTCTGAATCGGCTTGGAGTCTTCTTATTTTCGGCCTCTTCAGGGGGACTGCCTGCTGAAGAAATAACGTTTGCAAAGCTTCTTCAACAGGAAGGTTATTCCACAGGCCTTATAGGTAAGAGTGATCAATATAGGTGTATGCTTTGCATTATGTTATGCTTTCAGATATGTGTTTTCATCTTTAAATTGGTTTTCAAAGCAGTTTACAAATTAAACATTAGAATATTGGCAACATACACACACACACACACACACATATTTAAAAAAATTGTAGAAACTCCAAACGTAAAATGTTGGTGAAAAATACAAATAACCAAGACTCATGAAATAATGCAACTGATGTGCCTAAAAATTTTGTTTTGTTTTAATTATCCACCCAATTTATGGATCATAACATTGGGTGGCCAAATGGTACAACATCACCTAGAAAAAGCAATCAGTTAAATATGTAGGTACATTTAGTTAGTAAACTGGTTTCTGAGGCCCATGGTGAACATAAATATAAATCTGCCACAATAACAACAAAAAGTATGATCGCCTTTAATTCCATCCCAACTCACTTTTAGTTCTCTGTTAGTTACTATTAGGTAAGATTTGCTTTTCATCAGAAACATTGAGAAAAAAGCAACTCCAGATTCATAATCAAGCTAGACAGATCTTCCTAGCTGTACAATAAGAATGCTTATTCACACATGCCCAAAATGTGCATCCACATAGAAATGTGCAGTGCTTCTATCCAGATGCACATTCTTCAGAGAAAGGAAAATGAAAAATAATTGTGAAATCAAGTGAAAAGGATTCTGATATTCTTAGATAAGACTCTTTAGTTGAAAACTATTTCAAGATTATTCATATGATTCACCTATCAAGATTTAATATTAAGGGATGAATATTCCCCATTTTATCCATTTGTTTAGGTAATGGAATAGAAAAGGGTACATTTATCATATATTTATTTTTGCCCAATTTCTTTTTTTTCCCCCCCCCAAGATTTTAAAACTGCTGCATCCTTCTCTCTCCCCTGTTTGGAATATTTCGGTTTATAAATTATGCAAAATAATTCATTTATGTAAAGTTTATAATATGGTCACATATTTTCTCCTAATATTCTTGTTTTTGTATATATTTTTGCATTGCAAAAAGTAGAAAACTGATGATTTTTTGTGTTGCAAAAAATAGGAAACTGCTATTTTCACTATGTTCACATATAGATTTTGGAAATATGAATTTAGTACATTCACTTTAAAATGTAAATCAGTGTATGTATTTCTTCAATATTTAGTGGAGACTAAAATATCACCTGATATATATGTGCTTGTTTTCATCTAGGCAAATGGCATCTTGGTATAAATTGTAACAGCAGTCATGATTTCTGCCACCATCCCTTAAATCATGGATTTGATCATTTCTATGGAATTCCTGTGAACAATATTAGAGACTGCAGACCTGGGCATGGAAGTGTCTTTATCAAAGGAATTAAAATGTATATTCCCTCAATCCTCCAGATGACTGGAATTGCTGTAATAACTTTGGAAGTTATGCGTTATCTTGGCCTTCTCAAAATTCCATGCAGAGTGATAGGCTACTTATTTTTATTGGCTGTTGCATTAGTGGCAATCGTGCTCTTCTTCTTTAACAACTTTCGGCATCTAAATTGCTTCTTGATGAGAAATTACAGTATTATCCAGCAACCATGGACTTATGAAAACCTAACTCAGAGATTTACAGAAGATGCCAAATATTTTATAAGAAGGTAGGTACAGTTTTAAGACATTGCAATCTTACTCTGATAACTTACTTTCATAGATACTAGTGACACAGAGGATGAACTTGGCATTTGTGGACAAAATGAAAACGTACTCATTTTCAGAACTGGGGATTTAGAAGTTCCATTCTTGTTTTTCGTAAGTGAGGATGATGCTTTGGAACTAGCACTACCTATCTAAGGCCCTGTTCCAGTGTAGCTTCAATTCTTGATAGATATAAATAAATGTTACAAATGTTTGCAAACCTCTAGTACAATTTCAAGAAGGGAATTTGTAAACGACACCTAAAAATCATCAGTCAATTAAATCCATTCAGTGTTTTGTGACGTTTGGCCAATATTCAGCATCAACAGGAAGTGGGAATCTTTGAAGAAAACCAGGTTGAGATAGAAGAATAAAACCGTAGAACCCATGCCACACGGAGACATGCATACCTGAAATTTCTATGCCAGGAATTTCTAGGAACTCATTCTGTTATCACATCTATAACCACATTGTTATTTTCCTTAGATTGTAGGTGTTCTATTTTGTAGTCTACACCATCTTAACAAGTCTATAGATGTAAATGCCTATATAACTGGATAGGTTTCCCTGATGACAGGGTCAGAAGCTAGGTCCTGTAGCCTTTAGTAGCTTTCAGCTGATGGGGCAACTTCTGCTCAGATCCTCATGGAGTTGCTGTGCTAAGTTCTTTTCCGGGATTCCTTCTCTGTTTTTCAACCCAACTCTGACTAAAACAGGATAAACTTCAGGTTCAGCTCTTCTTTTAAGCTACCGCTCTGAGTCTCCTTAGGCAAGATAGCCACATAACCTGTTAGAATCAGGCAAAATAGAACCAACCAGCCACATATGGAAGCTTACCTGAGAGTTATCTTTTGCTAACTAGCAACTCAAACACAAAGCTTGCCAAGTGCTAACAGAATGCAACATATAGAGAGTATTTTTTCTTGTTGGATCATTGCTAATGAAGTTCTGAAGTACATAGACAACTGTATTGTACCAGATTAATTTATTAATCAATGAAACCAAATATTGACTAGTAGCAAATCTCCAAGGTCTCAGGCAAAAATATTTGCCATCACCTAATCTTTTTTTTGGATATAAGAGGCAATGAAGCCAGGATCTTACAGCTCATGTGCTTTATCACTCTACTGAGAATTAATCTAAAAAGTCTTGTTCATTCTCTGTACTTTTCTGTTGGGAAAGCAACGCTGTTTTATGCTATTTTATCTCAGTCTCAATTTAGAACACCAAATATCCTATAATTTTATATGTATTCGGTAAAATGTTATCAGTTTTCAAGCTTCTCTTCATAGACTGATAGGGTCTAATTATTTCTTTGACACTTCAGGAAACAAGGACAACAGAAAACAATCTTACTGAATTAAATGGGACTTGCTTTTCAGTAAATAGGTAGATAGGTAGATAGGTTAGATAGGGATGGATGGATGGATGGATGGATGGATGGATGGATGGAT